ATTGTTGATATTGTGAGGAAAGAGTGTAAAGCACGAAGGGTGATGCCGTGCCGCACGATGTACCATTCCATGCTGATTATATTGATTATATGGTGAGGAGAGAGAGTAAAAGCATGGAGGGTGATGCCGTGCACATCTTTGATCAATAATTGTTTTGGTGAGGACGAGAGTAAAAGCACGAAGGGTGATGCCGTGCAAACTGTTGATTTGTGATCCTTGTTGATATTCGTGTTATGTTGTTCCTTTCTTTACTTGATGCCTTTCTTTTCAAAACTGTTATCTCTCCCACAACATGTTTCCCCTTCCCACATTGACTGGTATTTCTGTATTTCTTTTTCCGATGTATATATTTAAACTGCACATGTATAATTGGTAGTCTGATCCTAGCCTCGCCACTACTTCGCCGAGGTTAGGCTAGGCACTTACCAGCACATGGGGTCGGTTGTGCTGATACTACACTCTGCACTGCGTGCAGATCCCGGAGCAGCTTTCGGACAGTAGTTGGAGGGCTTCCTTCAGTCCACCCGGAGACCCAAGGTAGACCTGCAGGCGTCCGCAGGCCCTGGTGTCTCCCTCTATCTCTATTCCCTGTTTCATTTTCTTTGTTCAGAAACAGTTTATTGTATTTTCTTTAGACCTTGTATGTAGTGACTCTTAGACAGTCTGTGACACTGTGACACACCAGATTTTGGGTATTTGAGGTTTTAGAAGTTGTAATAGACGTTGATTCCAGATATTTTATTGTTATCTTCTGCTTAATTATTTAAAGTTTCGTTGATTTTATGTTATCGCTTATATCTGTTAAAAAGAAGAAATTTGTTAACGAAGTAAGTAGTCAAGTTTTGGCTTGCCTAGCTCCCAATAGTAGGCGCCATCACGACTCCCGAGGGAGGAAAATCCGGATCGTGATAATTTTTCCACCAAAACCCCAATTTTTACTAATTTCCATGTTCAAATCCATATAAACTACGTATTTAACTCAAAATTGTGAAGAAGGCACTTACCCCATTATGATTGATGAAGATGGCACCCCAATGTGCTCCAAAATCGGCTCCTATGGGCGAAATGAAATGAGATAGAGCAAACCCTCGTTTTAAAGAAGACACTGCCTAGCCCCGACTCTCGCACTTGCGGTCACTTGACCGCTTCTGCGGTTCCGCAGGTGCGGCCCAACTACCGCTTCTGCGGTCCTGCACCAGACCCCTCAACTCCGCTTCTATGGCCCCTATCCGTTTCTGCGGCTCCTCGTGCGCAAGTGCAGTCCCGCTTCTGCGGAACTCGACCGCATCTGCTGTCCATGCCTTCCCCCAGCAAAAATCTGCTTCTGCAAGTCCTTTCCCGCACCTACGGGCTCGCACCTATGGCCCCCTTCACACAGGTGCGATTACACCAGATGCCCAGCTACTTCAGCCCTTCCCCAAATTCCATTTTCGATCCGTAAACCACATGGAATCCACCCGAGGCTCCCGGGACCCCGTCCAATCACACCAACCAGTTCCAAAACATAAAGCGGACCTGCTCAAGGCCTTAACTCACATCAAACTAATACCATGAATCGCACTCCAATTCAAGCTTTTATGAACTTTAGAACTTCAAACTTCCTCATTCGATGCCGAAACCTATCGAATCACGCCCGATTGACCTCAAATTTTGCATACAATTCACATTTGACATTACGGACCTACTCCAACTTTTCGAAATCAGATTCCGACCTCGATATCAAAAAGTCCACTTCCGGTCTAACTTCTCAAAAACCTTCAAATTTTCTAACTTTCGCCATACGTCTCCCAAATGACCTGCGGACCTCCAAATCCACTTCCGAACACACTCCCAATACCGAAATCACCATACAGAGCTATTCTCAGACTCAGAATTCCAAACGAACATCGATAACATTGAAATGCACTTCAACCCAAATTTATGAAATTCTTCCAAAAAGCTAACTTCCACAATAGGTGTCGAAATGCTCCCGGGTCATCCAAAACTCGATCCGTACATACGCCCAAGTCCAAAATCATCATACGAACCTGCTGGAACCTTCAAATCCCGATTCCGAGGCTGTTTACTCTAAAATCCAATCTTAGTCAATCCTTCCAACTTAAAGCTTTCGAAATGAGAAGTTTCTTCCCAAATCAACTCTGAACTTCCAAAATTCCAATTCCGACCACGCGTACAAGTCATAATACTTGAAGTGAAGATGCTCATGGCCTCAAACCGCCGAACGACACACTAGAGCTGAAAACAACCGGTCGGGTCGTTACATTCTCTCCCACTTAAATATACGTTCATCCTCGAACGTGCTAAGAACTGCGCTGGAGTTATCTGAAATCACTGTTTAACACCTCGTGCACCTACCAGTGCTACCACAATCCAGTTGAGCACATTTGCTCGAGCAAATCTGAAGATTCCTTTTTTGTTTAGTCAAATAAGCCTTAGAACCCAATTTTAACATCTGGAATTCTTTACCAGGCCTGTTTCCATCATACAACACCGTATCAATCTCTATGCGATACACCGATACAGGATTGCATACCTTTGCTGAATCCACACTATGCGCTGCATAACTGACATAACCATAATAACATCCTCTAATAACAATAGCAGAAATCATGAACTGATGCTCACAATGCACCTCGTGACATATAAGTGTTGTTCCAACTCTTGTAATACCGCCACGATGGAAGAGATGTGTAGAAATTCATAACCAATTGCCGAGTCAGCAATTTGCTGAGTCTCTCCTCCTGAAAGGAACCATTACCTCATTATGAACCAAATAACGATATTTGCTCTTTAATATGCTTCATATAATCTGATCGCAATGATCCCAGATCCAATAATCTCGTCTCACCCAGTACGACATGCTCAGGCAATAAGCCACCTCAGACACGACCAATAGTCTCATATGATGCCACAATGTGCCAACAAGCTACCAACTCGAATGTGATACATAAGGAGAACGAACTCTGGAAAGAACTACTCAACCCACGTAACTAATTAGACAACCGAAAAGGTGTTATTATACTAATATGATTCCTAAAGGCAATCATGTAGGATTCCTAACGTGTAGTATTATGTCCTAAAACTATTAGAATTACAAGGCTAATGTCTAGAATTCCGATTATGTCCTTTTATTATGATTTATTATGATTAATATTAAAAGGTTATTTTTGTAATCCAATAATTTATTCATGCTTTTATAATAATATAGATATAGATATAGATGTACGTATTTGAAATACCTAGTAACAAAGGGATATTCAGTATTTCCTAGATATACATATACCCTTCACCAATTAAGAGTTATTTATTACTCCTAGGTCATATTAAAAATGCAACCCACGAGGCTTAGTTTAAGTGGCAAAGATGAGGGACTTGCGTGTTGTAAGGTCACAAGTTTGAGCTTTGCGCCATACAAATTAAGCATAGTATTTAAGTAGAGAAGGGGCAGACCCATTATCTTCAAGTTTTGAAGGTTGTGGTTGGTCTTTAGCGTTGACACCAAGCGGAGTCATAAGGAAAAAACTCATATAAAAATACCTTTTTTATTATTAATATTCTTCTTAAAAATAAAAATATTTAATTATGTAATACACTTGTGCAACTTGGCCAGAACACTCTAAATTTAAATTTAACACTTATCAATCGCTGGTAACACATTACGGAGTCACAACTGAGCAAGTTACATATTTGGTTGGACGATAAAAAATAATTGCATTATATATATATATATATATATATATATATATATATATATATATATATATATATATATATATATATATATATATATATATATATATATAT